ATATATATTTTTTTTGTTAATATGCATGAATTTTCTCTTAAATTTTTGTTTTCTATATGTATAAACTTATGTGCTGGGAATTGGGGCTATTCCGCTATATGCTCAAATCTACAATGAACGTTGTACGACTTAATATTAAATTTATTTTCTTTTTGCTCTTAATTTTGTAATTATATCATGCGCATTCAGCTTCTGTTATTTATCAAATAACACTATCGAATGTTTTATTTTTTTTATTTTTTTTATTTATATATTATAAATTGTGGCCTCCCATTGCGTGAAAATAATAAATAAAAAATGTTTACAATCAGTTTCTAATTTCAATTCGTAATGTTAGCGTTTTGGTGAAAATATGGCAGTGGATTTGTATAACGGTACAAAAATAAAAACCATTTTGTGCGAGTTTCTTTTCGTTTGTTTTGTCTTTTTATCAATTATGAAATGAAAATTGCTGCCAGCAGCGGAAATTTTGTCTTGTTTCTGTCATTTATCTTCTTTCAAATGAAAAGGCAACAAAGGTTTGGATCTGTGTTTTTTTACTGACTTTGTTCGGATGAACTGCACCGTTGCAAACGAGAACCCGCTGGTCCACAACGTTTTAGAAAATTGCTTTTATTTGTTTATATTTTCGTATTGTTGACAAATGCATTGGTGTTGTAAAAATATCTCAAGGCCAAATTCATTTTGTAAAACTTTATTTAAAATAAAAATACATGGTAATAAAAAATAAAAAATGTACAATTAAAAAATTAAAAATCAATAGATTTAATGTATTAATGTGTTTGTATATGTGTGTGTTTGTTTATATTGCTACCACTATATTATGTTTTTGTTTTTCTTTTAGTAGTATATCATATAGATCTACAATGTGTGTGGGTGTATATATTTATATATGATATCGCATTTTCAATTTGTAACAACTAAAAGTACAAATTAAAACACACATAATTTTTTGATAGTAAACGTTTTTTATGTATATGTAATGAATCATCACTTGATTTATATATATATATATATATTTTTTTTTTATCGAATATCAACTTGGGTTCATTTTCTTTTTTTTCTTTAGCTGCGTTTCGTTACCTTTTCTTTTAATAATCGTTAATACTATTACTAATATTGAGTTGCTCGGCATTCACGTCCACATTTTTTAACGTTTATTTGATTACAAATAATGA